GGGGGGCAGAAGCTGCCCCTTCACTCGTAGATGCCCCCACAGAGAAGCAGCTGGACAAACGGTGGTTTGTACAAGATGAAGGAGCCCTGCGAGGACAGCCCTTGCTCTGTGCTCAGAGGCCGAGGAACCCCGAACGTAATTTAAACCCTACACTTCATTGTTTTTCTGCAAGTGCGCCTGTGAAGAAAAATTTTTATTAATTGCAAAAATAATAATAATAATAATAGGGCTAAACCTTGACAATTTTAAGGCTCGAATAGAGGTGGGAAAGTCATTGAAATGTTCGGTGGGTGACGACAGCGCTGGTTCCCAGCAGCCTCGTGTGCTTGCTGCTGCTTTTCAATACTGAAATACGAGATTTTGTCGTTGTTGATGTATTGCTTTTATTTGGATATTTTTAAAATAGTAAAGCCTGACTCATGTACGGCATGACACTTACAGAGAGAATTTCGGACGACGGGTGGGATGGTTTGAGGGTGAAGGGGTGCGTCTGGGTGCGTGGCCGTGGCTCGCGGTGTCTTCTTGCCGTCGCCCCAGCACACCAACGGGCAGAAGATGCTTTCAGAGCAGCTGGAGGTTTTTCCAGAAAATATCGCGAAACTCAATGACAACGCTATTTCATAGGCTTTCCCCTTTGAAAAAAGATCAGGGGGTAATTCACAGTTTCACGTCTTCAGGACTGTTTTCATTTTTTTGAACAAACTTCTGTATTACTCATTTTACCTGCTAATGATTTCCTTTAGAACTGTACGTTCGCTGGAGTGTGTGTTTTTAGTTGACGGTTGCGTAAGCTGTAACCATTTTTGTGCCTGCAATGCAGTAAATGGCTATTTTTCCTACCTTCTAATTTCAGACTTTTACAGATTCTGAAGGTGAAGTCGGGTGTGTTAGTAGTACGTGAAATCAATACCTAATTACCAGCATCGGTGTTTTGCTGTCATCTTGCACCTCTGGCTCCAAAGAATAGATTCGTATTTCTCACGTTGGTTCTTGTTTCCACACAGGCACATGTCCTTCGGATGAGAATCCCAAAGGCTATCACTGGCCGTCCATCCGGCCTTCCGAATACAGGCACCCTTGTCTCGGGAAGCCGAACGCCTTCGCTTCCCGCACCTGGTAATGCTTTTATTAACTTGCTGGCAAGCTCCACATCACCCACATTCCCAGGGCCCCACAGGCCGCACCACGGCCCCCAGGCATTGTGTATGTTTTAGAAAGAAGGGCAGGAATCTCTATGGGTGCCTAAATCATAACCTGCATGAGAGGTAAAAATGAGGCAGGTGGGTTCCTGATAAAAGGGTTTTCACTCCAGGCGATGTTCTAATTTAGCCTTCTTCAAAGAGTGATGGGGAAACTTGGAAACCAGAGCGTGGCCCTAGAGCAAAGCACCTTATCTATGGATGAACCAAGCTAGCTCACAGCCTTTTGAACATGCATCTGAAATTCCAAGACTTTGAAACTGTTCGGAGAGGCTGCTGTTGGAGGGGGAGGAGGTATCCAGAGAGGGAATGAAGACAGGATCTGGGTTATGGGTCTGCTAATGGGGGCGGTCAGGGTAGAGAATTTCCCTGAATGTTTCACAGGAACCATAGGTCAACTGCAAATCAAATCCAGTTCTTCACCCTCCGCTTCACCCCCAATTAGGGTTTCCTTGGGGGTGGGATTGAGAAAAGAAACTGCTCCTAGTCCTGTGTTTGACTCGTGGTAGGACAGAAGGGGGCTGTAGAGACTGACTGACCTGAGCGTGAAGCATGGCTCTGCCTCTTTCTGGCTGGAGACCTTGGATCCCTTGACCCATCTCAGTCTGTGTACTCATCTATGAAATGCGGACTCTCATCTGCGTTAGAGAGATATGTGAAATCAATGTCAGATTTTATCTGGAAAATTCTTAAAGCATACTTGACCCATGTTACCAAATACACTTTAAGTTTAGTAATCTGATGTATCCTAGATTAGGCTACAAGCTCTTGCTAGTATTTTGTTTCCATGATTCATGCACTTGACTTTTTTTTCCAGGAAGAAATTTTAACATAAGTTTAATTTCAATGTATTGCAGTTTTATTTTCAAATGAAACTTATGTAGATATTAAGGCAAATTCTGAAACTTTTCATTAATTTATTTTGGCAGTTATAATGTCATTTATGTCAAATATTTGAAGCACCTTTCTTTGTTTTGTAGTCATAGTAACAGTTCCAACTCATCCTTGGCCNCTAATTTTGGCAGTTATAATGTCATTTATGTCAAATATTTGAAGTACCTTTCTTTGTTTTGTAGTCATAGTAACAGTTCCAACTCATCCTTGGCCTACTGGGGGCCTCCTGATCTCTCCAACTGTTCAAGTAAGTGGAAGAGTTTCTTTCAGTCTCAGGACAAATTGAAATGACCGCATGCTTCATGGCTTCCATACTCTCCAGCCGTGTTCTGCTCTGAGATACTATTGTAATGTTAAAAGCTGGCAAATGATCGTTTCACTTATTTAAGGCAGAAAATACAGTTTTTCCTCATTCTGATTTCCTGTTGTATTTATTCTGAAAGCGATTAAAAATAGTTTGAAAATTGTAGAGAACACTTACAAATAACATACAAAGTGATATTCATATCAGTGTTTTATAGTTTTGTATTATTTTAAATAGCAACTATACACTTATTCAGTTAGTCTGGGTGCATTTCTGTTAGAACTATATATGTGAATACTGGTCTCAAGTTATTTGCCTAAGTCGTTTACGGGCTCAATTTGTGTGTTACTAAAGAGAGAGGTTAGTCTCTGTGTGTGAAGAAATTTCATTGTCCTTTGAAGGGTGTGATAAGGGGGTATACACAGAAAACTTAATTTGCTACTTAAACTATGAAGTTAAATATCACACTACGTTTTGATCCTGGAAATGATCCAAAAAAACAGGTAAAACTTTACATGTTGTTTCTTCTGTCTTTTTTTAGAGGAATCAAGTGAAATTGCCAACCAGATTTTAAATTTAACTGGTGATGTGCAGAACTTAAGCTCGGCAAATATCACCAGCATTGTAGAACAGGTCAAAAAGATCGTGAATAAAGAAGAAAACATTGATAAAACTCTTGGCACAACTTTAATGAACATATTTTCTAATATCCTAACCAGTCCAGACAGTGAATTGCTTGAGTCTTCTTCTGAGTAAGTTTGTTGTGGTTTTTTTCCTCTGGAGAGTAAAATTTATTGGATGCATGTGTTGTTACATACTTTCTCACATATCTGAATGCTTTTTGCCCGGATTGCATAATTTAAATCTTTAGAAGATCCATTGATATTCCCAAGATCATTCATAAAGTGAACTTTGAAGTTCCTTATTTTTTTTTTTTTTTTGAGCTATATATAATTTACAAAATGATTAGGATTGTCATCTGGCAGGATATTAAATAATCCCAGAAAAGCATAGTCATTATTTCATTTTCATCCTTTTTTTTGGCTTGCAAAGGAGATACTCAGCAAACACTCAGCTCACAGCTTTTAGGCATAACTTGGTCACTGTAAGTCACTGTCCTGTGAACTGTGTCTAGAATGACCACAGTCATGTTGTTGTACTTCTAAAATGAAAAGACCTAAGGCAGGGAGAAAATGTACCTATTTTTATACAATTCAGTCTGTTTCCAATTATTTTACTTAATGTATTGCTGTTAAGATATTTATTTTTTTCTCTGTGTATTTCCTTCCCTTCAACAAAACTTATTTGATGGAAATTTTATATTTGTTAAGATGAATTATTACGTAGATAACTTTCTTATCTACGTAATAATTACGAACGATTTTTTACAGTGTCTTGCAGTTCAACTCAGTCTTGAGTAGGAATTACATTCTTTATATGAGGAAAGCAAGACTAAAATAGGTGAAAAACAGAATTTGTTTAGGATTATTTAATTGTTGATTTTCCTTAAAGCGTATATTTTTCTCTTGAGGGTGTATTTATCATTATGATTCTATGTATTAACTGCTGTTGTTTTGGTTTGGGTAATTTTGTGAGATCAATTTAAACACAGTTTAAACACAATTTAAACACAGTTTTATTTGGTTAGTATTTTGTCTTGCAGCAAATCATGTGTGTGTGCAGGTACCTAAGACATGTTATTTAATGGTCGTATTATTTGTCATTTCTTTAGAGCTTTAAAAACAATTGATGAATTGGCTTTCAAGATAGACCTAAGTAACACATCACCTGTGAACATTGATACTCCGAATTTGGCTCTTGGAGTATCACCCCTATCTCCAGAGACTAATGAAATTTTAAATTTTAGCATCAGTCTTCCAAGCAATAATGAAACATATTTTCAGGTATGAGCTAGTAGTTTATTTAAAAACTTTCTGATCACCTACCCATTGCTCTTCAAGGAAATACGGGTCTGAGGGATGGCAGGCAGGTTGGAACGTGACTGAGGTTAACAGTAGCGTAAGCGTGAGGTCTGCGGCCACGTAGAGGAGATACGCCTTCAGAACCTCGGTGACAGAGGCGGGCAGCTGACCTTCTACAAGAGGTGGCAGTGGAACTAAGTAGTAAAGCAGGAGGGGGGTCTACCCTTTTCGGAGTGGAGACTGGGGATAAGTTCATTTAGAAGAAAGAACTTTATTAATGGCCTAAAAGTGGGAAGAAGCATGGTGGCTTTCCCAGGTGAGGGTGATAATTATAAACCTGGAGAACTTGTCAAAACATCTTGTGGGATCCCATTCCCAGGGATTCGAATTTAACCGGTCCAAGGTGGATCTCCAAAAGCTGCATTTTTAACGAGCTCCCAGGTGTGGCTGATACTGCTGGTCTGAGGATCGTACTTTGAGAACCAGTGATGCAGGAGGCTGGGAAGGGCAGGCGATGGTGAGGCTGGAAAAGAAGGCCGGGGCCAGAGTAATGGAGCCCTCTTTGACCTGTTCAAGTGATACTTCAGATAATTTTCAAGTTTCCACTGTGTGCTAGACAGTATAGCCATGTGGACATGTAATGTTTCTTAACTGTGGAGAAAAAGCAAGATAAAATATTTACAATTTTGTATGTAAGGAAGAACGTTATCCTGCTTTAGACTCGGGGCTCTTTGGGGTAATTCTATTTGACATTTTAAGAGTGAAAATTCCATCAGCCTCAGTCTCATTCCAAGTCCATTTGCAAGAAAACACTCTTTGGCCTGATCTGTGGGTTCAGGAAAAATGGTATCCAAGTGTTAATAAAATTTCAGCTGCTTCCTCTATGTGGAGACGCTCATTCTCAGTAATCAAACCAGTTAACTCATATATTNTAATCAAACCAGTTAACCCATATTTTTTTTTTTTTGGTAGTTATTTTTCATTGCATGTTTTGCAAAAAACTCACANCAATCAAACCAGTTAACTCATATATTTTTTTTTTGGTAGTTATTTTTCATTGCATGTTTTGCAAAAAACTCACAGTTCATTAAGTGTCACGCTGGTTGATGTGGCTCAGTTGGTTGTGCAGTGTCCTGTGCACTGAAAGGCCACTGGTTTGATTCTCAGTCAGGGCACATACCCAGGTTGCAGGTCTACCCCGTCAGGGCAGGTGCGTGAGGCAACCAACCGATGTTTCTCTTTCTCTCCCTTCCTCTTGCTCTAAAATCAGTAAAAGATATTTTTTAAAAACATTTGTTAAATGTAAATCTAGTTCTTACATTTGGAAATGTTAACTGATTTGAAGATTTCTCAGTTGCCTTAGTTAAAATCAGTGCACTCCCTGTTTTGCCACCTATGAAACCCAGTGAAACCCAGTGAGATGCAAGCTGCTGTCCTTAGGGGTTCGCCAGGAGGGCAGTTACTGCTGGGGCAGGAAGGGCCCTGGTCCTAGCCAAGGGGCTGCCGCAGCTCTTTGCCTTACTCAGCATGTGGAGTAAAGGCATCATTGCGGTTTCGTTGTGATTACTCTACCAATTTATCTCTGTGTCTGACAGATGGATTTTGAGAGTGGACATACAGATCCATTGGCTTCTGTAATTTTGCCTCCAAACCTACTTGAGAACTTAAGTCAAGAACATTCTATAATAGTTAAAAGAGCACAGTTTACTTTCTTCAATAAAACTGGACTTTTTCAGGTAAGTGTTCATTAAATTGTTATTTTTCAAGTGCAATTTGAGTTTCTTTGCTCGAAAGCTTAGCTTCCTTGAAAATATATCCAGACATAGAAAAATTAACCTATATTTTGAAAAATGGAAAATTTTTGACATGTTTCAACATTCTGTTACAGATAAAGTCATGCTTACGAACAGATGGGTTCATTTAAATATTTTTAATAAAGCAGATATTACATTAAAACTTGCATGATACAGTTATAAATGGCACTTTGTGGAGAAGCTGTTTACCATTCCTTTTGTTAAATATTTCATACTCTCAAGCAGTTGAGACCTTCAGAGTTAAAGAAAGTGTGTGCCAAAGGAAAGATTTTGTTTTGTTTTGTTTTGTTTTAATTCAACAGGAAGCACTGTTTACATAATGAGCAGCATTCTTGGCTTTAATCAGCTTTCCCATTAGTATTTCAAATGACCTTTGGCCTTCACACATTCCCAGAGTGGGGTGGCATTGTGCTAAGCACATATTATCATTTTTATTGGCATCATTTCTAGATACTAGGAAGTTCACTGCCAGCAAACACTGGTGACCTCCGATTGCCTTTGAAAGCATAACCCCATCTAGAGCCGTTTTACTCAGCCCTTTTTAAAAAAATAAAAGTTATCTATTAAATTGAAGATACCAGTGTCTATCAAACCATGAGACTTATGTAAGAGAAAGTGGACAGTCCCAAGGAAAGTAGACTGGTTTCTCACAGATCTGCCCTGCAAAGTAGGCCACGGGTGAGTCAAAGGAGTACCGTGGGGTTGTTTACAGTAATTAACCCCCAAACCTTAAAATTTTATCAACAAATGTGTTAGGAACAAGCTATATAAAATTTTTTAGTAGATTAAGAATGTAATCACATGTAATTACTCTGAAGGATTATAGCTACGAATATATAAAACTGTCACCTTTAAAAACAATACCAAAAAACGCAGTAGTTACCACAAAATGTGAGCAGTGGTGCGGAGAGGGGTGTCCATTGAGAGGAAGGTTGAGTCCGTGGGAAGGATTTCGGACAACTCGGAGAGCTGTAAGAATCTGTCATTATTTCATTTCGAGTCTTCTCCTCTAGCATTTCCCAGGCAGTGTTTTTAGTAGGAAATAGATGTTTGGTTTTTAAAGTAAATGTATAGCAAAGTAAGATAAATGTAAGAGTTCCATGTTTCTGTCCTCACACAGTGAACAAAATACGAGTGTTTTTCTAAAGACAAGGCTGAATGTCCCCAAGCCCTAGCCTACTTTATGGAAAGTGATCACACAAAGTTAAAAAGCTCTATTCTAGATGCTGAGACTTGTTTGGCATGGAGAAAATCCTGCAATTCTTCCAAAACAGCTGAGTTTATGAGCTGCAGTGGGGAAACTCAGGAGGCTTGACAAGAGGCCCAGGGAAAAAGTCAAGGTATCTGGCTGCAGAGTCGCAGTTGTCCTGCGCGCAGAGTCACTGACTCGGCTTCCTGACAGCCTTGTCTCTGAAGTAGGAGCCACAGCGGGGGGCCAGGCAGAGCAGGCGGGACTCGAATCCATGACCTGTCGCGGCAGTTGGTGAACCTGTCAGGCTTTCCGCCTGGCTGTGAAAGGGGAACTGGTTTGTATTTTCCAAGCGTATTTTCTCCATACTTCTCTAAAGGAAACCGACCTCATCTGTTCCCTAGGCCAGGGAAGCGATCCAATTGTTTCACAGCTCTTTATGCGTTTATATTATTTACCGCTGTGCATTGTTTCGGATGCTAACTGGCTGGCGTCCTGGCAGAAATCAAGACGAAGCTTCATGAACGTGGCCCTCCGCACCGGCTCAGAGTGTTCTCCCGATATATTTATTATAATAAGGGAAGCGGCACAGCTCTTTCAGGAAAGCCAGCAACTCGAGCTTATAAACAGGATGTTCTATAATTCAAGATCTTAAGTGTAAAAAGTGCTGACAGTTTGCTTATTTTGGAGCAGCAAAATAAAATAAAAGTGTGTACTTTTGACTAATACACACTCTGTTTTTCCCTGTAAAGGATGTAGAGACCAAGAAGGGCACCTTGGTGAGTTATGTGATGGCATGCAGCATCGGAAACATCACCATCCAGAACCTGAGGGACCCAGTGCAAATTAAAATCAAACACACGAGAAACCAGGTAAGAAAACACTGCAGATGGCGATGGAGTCGAGGCAGACTAGTTCAGGGAAACACGGGGCCGCCTTTTCTACACGAAAACAAGTAACTGGCCCTTTTTTCGAGGGGCACAGTTTTCTTAAAAGTGGGGGACGGCTCCTCAGGTAGAACTCTAATGTCAAGGTACATGGTAGTGACCGGGGGAAATCCATCTTATCTGGGATTCAATGCTCAAAAGGAGAATTGGAGTGAAGAAAAAAGCTGCTGCTTCTAAGAAATGACGTAGATTACTTGAAAGAAATTAGATGCAGGTGCAGTTGTACAATCCTGCCATTAAAGGTTTGGTTGTTTTATTTTTAATTTAAATGTTTTATTTTTCAATTATAGTCGACATACAATGTTATATTAGTTTCTGGAGTATAAGCCAGTGATTAGACACTTATATAACTTATGAAGTGATAACCCTGATAAATCTACCCACCTGCACCATAAATAGTTATTATATTATTGACTATATTCCCTATGCTGTAGTTTATATCCCCAGGACTATTCTGTAACTACCAGTTTTTACTTCTCAGTCCCTTCACCCTTCCCACCCAGCCTCCCAGCCCCCCTCCCACCTGGTGTTTTGGTTGGTTTTTTTTAAGGTCAAGGTCACTGCTACAGGGAAAGCCGAGGAAAAACACAGTTGACTTATTTTCTGAGCGGTTAACAGTTGTCTAAAATCTTGGCAAATGCTTTTTTAATTGCTTTATTACCCTGGCTATCATCTGTTCATCTGATAAAATTACGCAGGGTTTATATTGTCCCAGGTGGCCCAGGCCCAGGTTTTTCCCCTTTTTATGGAGGGTCCCAGTCATGGTTCTACCACTTGTTAAGCAGGCAGGAAGGCGGGCGGGAAGTGAGCTGGCTGATAAGGACCGAGGCTTGGAAGTTAAGTCATCTAAGAACTAGCTCTGCTTTGTCACGAAACCCTCTGACCTCCTTGTTTTACCCTTTGGCCCCCTTTGTTTCAGCTCCCAGCTCCTTCATCCATAACAATTTTTTTTATTGTGGTAAAACATACAAAATAAAATTTACTATTTTCAAGGGCACAGTTCAGTGGCATTGAGTGAATTCACATTGTTCTGCAACTGTCACCACGTCCATCTCCAGAACTGTTTCATGGTCTCCAACTGAAACTGTGGGCTTATTTCACCTAACATAGTATTTTCAAGATTCACCCATATTATAGCATGTGTCAGAATTTCCTCCCTTTTTAAGACTGGATAATATTCCATTGCATAATATATGTAGTATATCCCACATTTTGTTTATGTGTTTTTTCATCGATGGACACTTCGATTGCTCCCACCTTTGGCTCTTATGAATGCTGTGAACATGGGTGTGCAAAAACCTATTCGAGTCCCTGCTTTCAATTCTTTTGGGCAGATACTAGACATTAAGGGGAATTTTAAAGACGAAGTAAAATTACAGTATAAAGAGCTTTGCTAAATGCTAAGTATAGCATTTTATGATGGGACATAAATAGTAACCTTTAGATAAATGAGTAACACAATTCCTCATGCAGTTATAGTTGATTTTCACCTGAAGTCTTTGTGAGAGGAGACTCCCCCCTAGACTGCTTGTCATTGTTAAGCTGTATTGGTATGACTACTGCTGATCCATTTCTTTGTGAAAACCTTAGCATTTTACTCTGTTCCCATACCCAAACCATAAGAGTTTTTCATTTATTTTAAACACAATTTCACATGTTTATTCTTATGTTACTATAGGCAGTGCCTAATCCCATCTGTGCCTTCTGGGATCTGAACAAAAATGGTAAGTTTTCAAATATTGGCTATCTTAATAACAACTGAATTTTAAACATTGTTAGACACCTCTGTTTTCTTTAATTCCACCCCAAAACAGTGTGAGTCACAATATAAGTGTGATGGCAACTGAGCTTCAAATTTTGGTTTGGGTAGCTTGGGAAGTAAATTCTAATTTCTGTAACTTTTTATGCATTATAAAAAGACATAGACAGACATGGCTTTTTAAAAAATCAATGACCTCTTTAATTTCAGTTATTTATAAAATAGAGTACATGTTTTCATTGCCATTTTTTATGAACATCCATGTACACTTGATCTCACTCTTCTGGGACACTTCTGAGCAGGTTTTGTGATGTGCATAAGGCATATAATTAGAAATCCAGCTTGGGGACCTCAGATTATGGGAGAAAGCACACTAAAGGATTGCAAATGTAGGAATAGTTATAATAGATATATATTACTTAGAATAAAGGAACTGCCTCCCGACATTGGACAGCTGGGAGAAAGGCAAAGTTCAGGGTTTGATCACTAGGTGTAAGGTGTGGGGATCTCTTCAGGGGAAGGACAAGGAATGAATCCTCCCACCTCAGCCCCCTAAGGGTCCCCTTCGTTTGGGGTTCCCCATTAGGATTATCTTGCTTCTTGGTAGAAATATAGTCTGAAGATTTCCAGACCACTTTTTTTTATACTCTATCACAGCTGGAAAGGTTTTCTTGTTGTTATTTGGGTTTTAGTGGCACAGATTTGAGAAGAGCCTGATTCACTAGCTACATAGTTTAAAATATTACCTTGCAGTCTTAAAACAGTCTTCAAATACGTGAGTTGCAAATATTCCACAGCATGGCATAAGAGTCAGAGCAGATGTATTAAAGGTATTTATCACAAGTCCCCACCATGCATGGCTGCTGTGTCCCTAACAGCATGTTCCCAGAAAGGCCTTCCTTGTTCTCACGTCTTCCCAAAAACTTAGACTGATCCAAGGAAAAAAATGTATTGATCTCTAGAGACTTCATTAGTACATATCATATTTGAAAAGGGATATTCTTTTTAGGAAAGCTTATCTTATATTAGAAATTAAACATGAAGCAAACTTTTGCAGAACCCTCAGGGCACTTCAGTGGAACACAGCCGAAAACCACTGACAAGATCACCTCTAGCCGCCCACCCAGCACTAACGGTCTGTGATTCCAGGAATCTGAACTATTCTAACCATGGGCAGCTTTAAAGATAGTATCATGTTACAGATAAACTGTGAGGCAGATGATACTGAGGCATATTTCTCTAAAGAAGGTGTCATCCATTATAGAGGAGGAGCTGACCTGCTGTTATTTTCATTGTTTGCTGACTTCCCCTGCAGAAAGTTCTGGATTTTGGAACACGTCGGGATGTATCGCACACACAGATCCAGACGCGAGCGAGACGGTCTGCTGGTGTAACCACCTCACACACTTCGGAGTTCTGATGGTAGGAGCGGATTTCGAAACTCATTTTCAAACAATATAATTTTGGAAGGCATACTTTTAGGTGTGTGTCAGCCTTTTAAGCTTTTGTGTTTGGGGAATTATGTCCTGATAGTTTTCATCTGTACCCTGAATCTTGATTCTTAATGAAGAATCTAATTAGCAGAGATCATGTATTAAAAATATACAAGATTAATTACAGAAAAGGACCCTACTTTTTTCCCCTAGCATTAATGGTGATGATAAATAATCCTAGAAATAAGAATATCACCATGAGACTTTTGAATTAAGAGAGAAACAGAGAGTCAGGGAGACAGAGAGAAAGGGAGGCAGAGAGAGAAAAGTTAAAAAGGGAGAAAATGTGGGGTTTTCCTACCATGGAAGGGAACTGTGAAAAGATTGATTAAAAATTTTCTCTCATATAATATGTTATTGCTCAATATGTTTGAATGTCACATTGTGCCAGGTACTGTGCCAGGTGAGCCTCCTGGGGATCTCAGTCTGGGAGGAAAGACTAGTGACTGGGATTGAGTGGAGTCGTCAGGCCTGCAAGAGAGATGATGGGTGTGACTTTATTCTCACTGCTAGGCCTTCATATATATCATCTCTGTCCGTCTGCCCTCCTTTCCTTCCTTCCTTCCTTCCTTCCTTCCTTCCTTCCTTCCTTCCTTCTTTCCTTCCTTCCTCCCTCC